TAAGATGAAAGGAATGCAAAGTATAAAATTAGTCCCGATGGCAAGCTTGGTAAAAGGTGGTGTGTGCATGCTAGTTGGTTCAATTTGTCTGACTCCTTGTGACCCCACAGACCACAACCTACCAAGCTCCTCACTCAGTCCATGGGATTTTCCAGGCAAGAATACTGGAGTGGGTTGCCATTTCCTTCTCCAAAGGATTAATCTTCCCAACACAGGGATCAAACCTGCACTTCCTCTAAAGAACTGCAGGAGCATTCTTTATCACTGAGCCACCTGGGAGTCCCAGTAAAAGGTGGATAATCAGTTAAATTTTAGTTGTCTAGTTGTGACTGATTTAGCATTTGCAGAAGTGAGGGTCGGGAAGGAAGGCAAAATCAGAACTGGTGGGATTACCAAGAATTTGAAGTGCTCATTGGGGCTCTTCCCTTAAATTCTGCAACTGAGGATTTTAAAGTGTATAGCTTGTACTTACAGGAACTTAATACATCATTTACTGAATGTCTGAATGAACTGCACTATCCTAGGTACTGTAATTCCTAATTATCTAATTTGAATTTGAAGACTATTAAAACTAGGCAATAAAAAATAAAATAAAACAAAATAATAAAAATAATAGTAGCCAGGCACTGTACTAAATATGTTACATGCATTTAACTGTTTAATCAATTAACTCAATGAAGTTGATGTTACTGTCTTCATTTTGGGTGTCCCCAAATAGGGGAGCATATCCAATGCTCTTAAAACTTAAATCTTCTCTACTCCAGAATATACCTGTTTAGGACAAATAGTATGCTTTTATACAAGTTAGCCTATTTTTCTGGTATCTGAACACTGGGCATCTAACTGAACAGTGGTTTCCTGTATTTTAATTTAGGACAGGGTTTTTTCCCTCTAAAAAGCAGATTATTCAATTCATGTGGCTAATATTCACTCCTGTTAAAATTTTATTGTTCTGCTTCAATTATGGTAAATCATTATGTCTGTTTCATTCACTCCTAGGAAGAGAATTTTGCTGTCTTCAGCTTAGTTTGGCATGTCAATTGTCTGGGGGAGGTAGGAAGTTCTTTCTGAACATTTCTAATGATCCACATTAGGGATTCTGAAGTAATCCAAAATATGGGAACAGTTGCTAAATATATATTTGAAGTGATCTACCACATTACAGCTGTTCAAAACTTACACGACTACAATTTTCATTAATAAACACTGACATCACCAAGTAAATAAAAGCTTTTACTTAGGAAATAATCAAGTAGCCAAGTCTAGAAGTACTATGCCAGAATTCTTTAAAGCCTTGCTGAATATAAAAACTGGTCCCAGATTGGAACAGAGTTGCATACACTAAATAGGACAGGGCAAATAGACATCAAAGGATTGTAAATACAAAAACAGAAAGAAGGCTGAGATGAGGAACTGAGGAGGGTTCGACAATGAGTATCCCACATTTTCTATAATGACTATCAAAATTAAGAACATAAGTAGTAATGGAGCTCAAAATAGAAAAACTTACACCAAAGTAAAATAATGCACAAGAAACTCAGCTTAACATTAAAAAAAAATTCACGATGTAAATTTTTGGGATACAGTCAAATGACAGACATTAGTGACAATTTACAAACTGTATGGTTTGATTCAAAGGGTTGAGGAAATGATTGGGGGTTTGTGTAGATTGAAGAAAATCTGAAGTGAAGAGGAGAAGAAAAGGGAAGTGAGAAAGAGATGGGCTATAGTGAAGAATCAAAGGCATTTATGATGGCAATAGAGTGAATCCAATAAATATAGGTACCCAAGAGGTTTCAGATTAGGTGTCATATTTTGGAAGGCCATGAGATAACAAGGTGTTAGGTGAGAGAAATGAAAACTAATTAATTAGTCAATTCCATAAACATTTACTGAGCACCAACTTCATGGCAAGCCCCATCTGAGAAGCTCAGGGAGAGTCTTGCAGAAGTCTATAATCACTTGGCTTTCCTAACACTTAAAAATTATTAATGATTTTTCTACTAAGTTCCACATGTTATAGTAGAATCTGACACAAAATCATAGTTGTAAACACAAATATCTTAAACAGATGAGCAATTTAAGTGAATTTGTAAGTTTTCTGTTTATAGAGGACATTTGGTGGGATATTAAATCAGAGTAATTACTTTCAAATTAGTAAAACTGCATTTAATAACAACTCTCCAGAATGCTAAAAGTCCCATACATCATAGTTATAAGGAATTAGAATCAAAGTTGACCTTCCTATCAAATCTTAGAAAAGAATATTTCTGACAATAGTGAAACAGGAGACCTGGTAATCACTGTTGCTATTTATAATAATAGAACAAAACACTATTGTACATGTATATTCATAGGTATATAGCATATGCTCAGTAAATTACAAAATTTCATTAATCTACTTTGTTTTTAACAATATAAAAATCCTCTGGTGCTAAAAAATAAAACTTCTAGACATGAGTCAGTAAATGAAACATAAAAGTGTACCATAGGATTAGCTAACATCTAAATAGGCCTCACATTCATTCTCAGTACTATTACATTTCATCTTGTAAAATGAATTTCAGTGAGTTACAACAAAAGACTTTGACATACAAAATATCCAACTCATCAGTGAGGAAAACAACACAGAACGAAAAATGATATGTTGGTACTCCAGAGCTGGAGAAATAAAAGCTAAAACTCTGACCTAATGTCTACATTTACAGATACGAAATACAAAGATAATGAAAAAGAAGAAATAAGTTAACAGAAAGAGGGCTGACAAATAAAAATAAATCATTTGTCAGTATACATAAGTGATATGAACCAAATGGGAGGAAGATAAAATTTTAAATGGCTTTGTAGGATCAACTGCAAATAGAGTCTTCATTAAAATCCTATTTTAGTGCAATGCAATAGTAACTTTATGGCCCAACTCCTAGGTAACTATAATGTAATTGTGTGGTTTCAATAGCTTTATATGTAAACTATTTGGTTGTTTTTGTATGTCCTTTATAAGATGAATTATATATCAATGGTTGTGTCTGTGCATATACACATACAGTAGTGTGTATTTGAAGTTTTTAGCATAACTTTCTCATTGACAATGGAAATATCACTTAATATTAATCCACAATGAATAACAATGCCAAGCTTTAGCCCCTGTGTCCCTTTTTGGCATACGTAATTGCAGTTAAAATTTAGTTAAATTCTTGGGGCAGAAGTCAATCTAAGGGTTAAATGAATCACTGCCCCTTAAGTTTTGATTATAAGTAACTTCACTGCCTACTTATAAACTATTAAGGACTCTCCCTACCCAAGGAATTTCATCTCTCTCAAAAATGTAAGGAAAACAAGTACAATATTTTTACTTAAGAAATTTAAGATTATTTTAAAATAAAAATTATTGAAAGACAATTCTAAAACCAAAACCAAGAAGCTTTGACAGTTACTTATACTTACTGTGCTGCTTCTAATTATTTTTTTTAAAAGATGGTTTTCAATTAAAGGAATTTTTTTTAAAGGCCCTAAGGTATGTGTCTACATTTTAATTTAAATATGACTGATGTCAAAGGAAAACAGCATTCTCATCTTGTTTTTAAATTAGACTAATTGTTATGCTTTCATTTTTACTAGAGGAGAATGAATGTCTATTAAAAACATGTTTTAAAATAAAAACATTCCCCAAATCCTCCTTTAATACCAAATAATAGGTATTTCACTCAAATTATTAACTTTATATTTTCCTTACATTTTTAATACTCCTCAAAAAGTTGTTTTATATCATCTTTTTAAAATTTGGAGACTTTTAGTGTTTGCTCAGCTCCTTGACCTGTCAACTGAATATATGATAAAATATTCTTATCATCATGTAATTATGCAAGTTTACTGCTCTCAAATTAACCCTAGGTAATATATTTACAGAAATGGAAGGATTCATTAAATCCCTTGAACAAGCCATACTATAAGATATTAGCATGTACAATAATAGCCAACTGTATTCAATTTAATCTATTTTCAAAACAACTAGAAAATAAAAATACTTCAAATTATCTTGCTTATTCACTGTAACAATCTCCCTGAGGTTATTTAATGACATATAAAAACTAAACAAATGGATATTTTCTTTTGTCAGACATCGTACTTTACAGCATTTAACACAGTCTGAAAATAAGGAGACAAGCATTATCTTTTTTTGAAACAAGCATTATTAACGCATATTTTAATTTATGTATGAATGGCTTTATATTTTTAGAGAAGTCATTCAACAGAATCTGAGACTGTTTGGCATTACATAAGAGCAAAAGGGAAAATATTTTTCTTTCCCCTTTTGTGCTAAAGACCTGCATAGATGGACTGAAAACACACATTTCTGCGCACCCAGGGTTTCAGTGCATAAGATTATGTTTTAATAACAAGAAATCTATACTAATACATTTCTGCAAAGCAACATGAACCAAAATATACTGAAAATAATTTCAACAAGTGGTATGTTACCTGGGTGGAGCTGGTGGCTACCGAGATGCAGTCAATAAAGCTGTGTCTTCGAGTGAAAAATGCAACTATCTGCTGCCAGCGTGAAGGTTCTGGCTCAGCTTGCAGTTCATCTGATGAGCCCTTTTTTGCCCAGTGTTTCTGCTTTGGGCCTACTGAGCCATGGCTAGAGCTAGTATTGCCTCCTCGACTGGCGCGAGAGTATAGAAGTGTGTTGTTCCCGAAAATGTAATTCATCTCTGCAGCCCTGCAGGTGGTTGCCAAGCAGTCTTACTTCTCTACCAGCTGCTGAGTAGTGAATGATCGGTAAAAACTGCAGCTAGAATTACAGCAGCATCACTTGTAGATCAGGGAAAATAAAAGCCTTGAGAAAGGATGCTCATTTTCTCTGTAATTTCTTCCCATGAAAGAGCTTGCATCTTTCCTCTGTACCTGTTGTTAGCTGTATGATGGCTGAGTTTATATTTGTAGGCAAAAAAGACGGCATAAGGTGGATTTCTTTCTCATGATTATTTTTTCACCAGCGTCTGCAGGAACCAAAAGCTGTTCTTTTGTTAGCTGATAACTAGACGGACTGAAATCCAGGAAGTGAGCTCGATTAGCAGGTAAAGAAGGATGTTATAAACACTGGACTACCAGGACCCTTTGGGGCTGCCTGATTTAATGCACTGGGTGGAGAAACCCTGGATTACCAAGTTCAATCATAGTCTGAAGTAAAATCCAATGGCATCTTCACTGCTTAAATAAATTATAAATATGAACTGCATTTAAAAATACAAGAATATTCTCTCTGCCAACACTTCTAATTGTTTAAAACAATTTTACTAAAGGAGTCTTTTTCATTCAGATTAAATTTCTACAGTGGGAAGGCACTTACATTAAATAGCACTAAGGTTTTAAAAGGTACCATCTACATTAAACTCTGAGGATCTAATGATACAGAGAAATCCATTTGGAATGTAACCTGATCATTTTATGTAATATATTGGTCTTAAGTGCTTTGATTAATTGAGTTTGATGACAGAAACAGAAAAATTAGCGAAATAAGTATTTGGCTTCTAGTACTTTTGTGATAAAAAAGCGTTGTTATCAGCATCATGCCTCTCATATATGTTATAAACATTAAGATTATCAAGTTATGAATTTGTAAAAATACAAAAAGAAAGGTTAAATTTTTTATTTTATAGCCAATAAAACATATTTTTTGTAATACTACATAAATAATACTCTGGTTCACAAAATAACTGTTTGTTAAACAGATACTTTCTAACATCTAATATCTAGGTCTGTATTTCTCCACACAGCAGTCCACCTCAGGATCACCTAGGGTGCTTGTTTAAAAAAAAAATGCAGACTGGTATCCGCTCCCTATCAGAATTTTTAGGAGTAAGGGAGATCTGAGAATTTTCATTTTTAAATAGCCCCCTAAATAAGCACCCTCAAGTTTGAGAACTACAAATTCCTAAATCTGTCCTCTTCATACTTTGCTACATTAGTATATAACACAATATATTGCCATCATAAACAGTATGTGAATAAAAATGCTACTTGAAAATTTACTAGTTGAGTAATTCAATTTTAAAGTTGATATAACCGTATCATAATTCCCAACCTCATGGGATGAATATTTTTTTTCAGATGCAGATCTACAATATCTTGCTTACTTTTGCTTACCAGCACCAACTAAATGCAGCCTACTGGAATGTAGGATTGGCAAACCACAACTTCTAGGTCTACTACAAATCCTATTTGACAAGAAAAGATGCAAACACTGTCTCTATGATTCCACCTCTAAGATACAAACACATGCCCCAAAAGGGTTGACAGTCATGTGGGACTACTGGAAGTAAGATGCTTTGTGACAGATTACAGCAAAGTTTGCTTCTTCCCAAGGACTCCACAAACAATTGCTGGCAGTTTTATGGCCATACACAGATTGGTCTTATCTATTTGGGGGTAGGGGAATAGAGCAAACACTAAGGGTAGACAAAGAACTAAGAATACTCTCTAAAGAAAAAACCTAAGAAGTCTTACCATGGACCAGTGGTTTACACTGGTGGTTTACACAAATGCTCTAGTAATTGGCTGTGTGCTCAGACAAGTGAGGCTCTTTGTGACCACATGAACTATAGCCTGCCAGGCTCCTCTTCTCCATGGAATTTTTCAGGCAAGAATACTGGAGTGGATTGCCATTTTCTTTCTCCAGGGGATCTTCCCAATCTCCAGGGATCAAACTTGTGTCTCTTGTGTCTCCTGCACTGGCAGTAAGACTCTTTACCACTAGCACCCCCTGGAAGCCCAATTAGTGTGGTTTATGCAAATGCTCTAGTAATTGGTTTGGTTCCTAAATGTGTGTCTTGACCCATATATGATGGAAAACTAGGGTGGAAACCTAGATTTTATATAGATTCTGTTACCCTGGATTGGTAAAGATGAGGACATTGAAAACAAATGTTGAATGCAAATATCCTGCCCAAGTTGAAAACAGTATCAACACAGTCATTCACATACAATAATTTCTTATGCTAGAGAGCCAAAGGGCTTGGGAACAATTAAAAGCTGACAGAATACTCCATCCTATACACAGGATGAGAAATACTTCTCAATATATAAATTTCCTATGCAAATCCAATGACATAAAAAAAATCTTGGAGTTTTGAGACAGGTTTCTTTATGACAATGTCCCATTACCTAGCTACAGAAATTTAGGACCAGCTCATCGATTGCCCATAGTCAACACCCTCACACAAAACCATGTTATGTACCTAACTCACAATTGGTTTCATCCAATCTGATTGGGAAGCAGAGGGCACCTAAGTCCTCACTGATCTCTGCTTTAAAATAACCCTACCCATGTGGCAAAGCCAAAAGATATTCTATTCCATTAAAACAAAATTTTAATGATAGAACTTGAAAAGTCTATTTAAAATAGCATATTTTTTAAAATACCACACAATGTTTAAATCACCAAAGAGAACACTATTAAGATTTTAATATGATATATGAAGAATTAACATTTTATTTTTGCAGTCAAATTCTCTAGCACTGAGCTATACTCCACACCTAATATTCTTTTTTTCTGTACAGCTTAATCTTTCTTTTTCAAAGAACGATAATAGTATCTACAGCAGAACTCTAAATGAGAGGAGGAGGCTTCCCAGCTGGTGCAGTGGTAAAGAATCCACCTGCCAACGCAGGAAAGTTCGACCTCTGGGTTGGGAAAATCCCCTGGAGGAGGAAATGGCAACCCACTCCAGTATTCCTGCATGGAAAATTCCATGGACAGAGGAGCCTAGAGGGCTAGTCCATAGGGTTGCAAACAGTTGGAGACCACTGAGTGTGCACATGGGTGCGCGCACGCACACACACACACACATACACAATAGCAGAAAGCATAATTAACAAAGTATATCCATTTAGTAGATTTTTACATGCTTTAAATATGATCATGAAAAATTTATGACTGTGAGAAATGTTTATTTTATAACATTAAATGGAAGTAAAGACAGTTCAAAAATTTATACAGGGTAGGCCCTCAATTACTTGTATACATTTCAAAACTCGCAAATAAACACAGAAGACTTTAAGATATAGTAACAAAGGCAACGATTAAATAATCTTGGTGAAAATTTTTAAAAGGTTGAAGGATGAGAGGAAAAACAATACTGAACCTCTAAAATACTAGAAAAAAAATTACTAAGTAACCACAAAGTCAACAACACTATAAATGCAACACAACATTTTCCTTACCTTTTTATCTTTATAATATGGCTTACTAAATTTTAAAACATGCAGGTGTGCTAAGTTAAGAAAAGATTAAACTAAGAAGTTTGATAACATAGATTTGTTCATTTATACACAAATTCCTTCTGTATGAGCGCCATCTAGTGGTCATATTGTATGCAACCTGTGTGTTCAACTTAGTACACCAGAGTCATCCAAGAAAGATAAAATTCAAAAGACACTCTGGAGTTGTGAAAACAAAGTTGATTTCAAAAAGTACTCAGTATGTACTCAAAGTGGGAAAGATTCTATTCCTGTAGCCTTTAGTTCAACAGGCACATGTTTGCTTATATCCATTCTTCTGCTACCCCGTTTCTCACTATATTAAAAAAACTACCAACAGCTGGTGATTTCATTTGATAGTATTAGTGCTACTGGATTAAATGCTTCCAGGCTAGAAGATATACTTATTTAAAATAATTATCTGTTCACATACCCTGTTCTGTCTTCAATTTCAAGTCCCTCAACTACATTTACTTTGCACATAAAAAATAATTTTCCTTGTCACTGAAGACAAAGTTAAAACATGAACTCTTTTATTTACCCAATGACTATTGTAACATCTTATACTAAGCCATCTCACCCTTGTCACTCCATCTAGATTTAAATCTATTTTGAAAAAGGCTGAGATTTTATTTGTTCAATTTAAAGTTCTGGCCATTTTCCCTAATTCTTAGATCATTTTCAGTTTAAAGAATCTTAAACACTTTTCTTATCATATATATGACTATATTTAGAACTGTTTAAAATCTAACCTTACTTTAAAGATTCTCACATACCACAAAAATCTACCCACTATGTCCATACCCTTCAGGTTAGGATTTTTCAACACTTATGTTGCCGACTTCTTTCTTGAAACTATTTAGCACTGGCAAGAAACTTCCCTTTTAGAGTCCTAAATCACAATTACTTTTTAAAAATAATCACCTTTTTTTTGGGCCACACCAAATGGCACCTGCAGTGGAAGCACAGTCTAAACCACTGGACTGCCAGGGAAGTCCAAATCATACTTTAATGTTTTATGCTAATAACTGAATTAAGTAACTTTCAATCACTATCTTACTTCATTCATTACTTCAGTAAAGAGAATCAGCATTAGCACTACAACACCTTGACAGATTATTTCACAGCATGTTTCATGGTGGCAAAACCTTCATAGGGCCACTCATCAGCTCAGGATCAAGGCCCTTCTTACCTTGTCCTCATTTCTTAACAACCATCCTAAACATCAGCTACAGTTCATGAACTTTCCTGCATTTTTACAGTTTCCTCAGACAATCACCCTCCCACTGTACTTATTTTCTCCAGTAACTATCTTCTCTGAATTGGCATCTTGTACACATCCTTCAGCACTTGTCCAAATGTCAACTTTCTTTTTTGGAATACTTCAAGAATTTAATTTCTCTCTTTTTCATGTTACATCATACCATGTTATAATATCTCTCCATAAGAAATACCAGTCATTGAAGTTTAACAAACTTATCAGCACAGATGTTTAATAAACGCTAAATGCATGTTATTTAATAAACAAAACTAATATTCTAACAGTTGATTTTAAAGCAATCATCTATTAATCTTATTTTTCTATTAACATTCATAAGAATTGTGAACAACAAAAGTAGTGCCTAATTTACATTCTACTCAGCAAATCGCTACTATTCAAATGTAAGTTTTCAAATTAAAAAAATAATAATTCATATACTGAGCTCTATGTATAGTACAGTGTTACTTGCTTCATTCCAACCACAATACTATAAAAGCTGAGAAGCTCTTTATATTAGCTTTATTTTTTTTTAAATTGCTAATCTGGTAATCTTATATTTATTTTAAATAAAATATACTTCATTATTAAGCTTCCTAAAACATTTGCAGCTATTTGTAAAATTTTTTAAAAATTAAAACTTGCCTTATGTCAAAACAAGGCTGTTTTTTAAAAATTTGGTTTTCTAACACAAAGTAACCTTAACCATTTTGCTATTATACTACCCCAGTTCTATGCTTCCTCCTCAAATTTTAATCTATGCATAAGACAGGAGAAGCAGGAAGAAATACCCCAAATGGTGCAGTTTTAATAATTCTTAAATTACAAATGTATCAGAAAATAGTCTCTCAAAAATCCAGTCTATCAAAATTTCTGACCCAGTAATTTGACTTCTGGAAAACCATTCTAAGAAAACAACCTAAACATACTTTAGATGCCCCAAGATGATTCACTGCAGCTTTCTTTATGAAACCTAGTAAAAATGGAAATAACAAATAGTGAACACCAAAAGTGTTCATCAAATCAAAGTACAAATATACTATGTAGTATTATGTATCAGGTTTTTAAAAAAAAATTTAACATGAGAAAACATGTAAAACAAGTTTATAATAGGGAAAAAAAACTGTCATTAAAAACAGTAAGATGTAAAGTATGACTCAGAAACAGGTGAAAGAGAAGTTAGATAATTTCTTCTACTGGTAAAGAAAATCCTTATCACTTCCCAGATATAAATCAAGAGAGCCAGCAAGAAAAACAGAGAATACAATGATGATATCCAATTTCTCTACCTAACTGCACCAGAAGTTTATCTATAACTATTTCAGAGACTGATGCTGTTAATATCTTATACAAGAAAACAAAATGAGAAACAGCAAGACATATAAGGACTGATAGATTCAGCTGCTTTCCGATGAGACCAGCTGAATTATTACCATAGTACACTAAGATGCTCTGAGACTAGTACTTTCTTGATTTTAACCAAAATTTGTCAAAGATTTGCATACAAATACTCAAACTGCCACTTCACTATGGCAATAGTATAACCAGCAAACTATAAGATGTAAGCCAATTTCAGAAAAGATAAAATATAAAAAAGGTGTGGTTTACAACTAAAAGTAAAGGAAATTTTAAGCTCCATAGCATACTTCTTTAAATAAACCTCTGTCAAACTTTTCACACTGTTCATGGTGTTCTCAAGGCAAGAATACTGAAGTGGTTTGCCACTCCCTTCTCCAGTGGACCACATTTTGTCAGAACTCTCCACCATGACCTGTCCATCTTGGGTGGCCCTATACACAGCATGGCTCATAGTTTCATTCAGTTGGACAAGGCTATGGTTCATGTGATCAGTTTGGTTAGTTTTGTGGTTGTGACTGTGGTTTTCATTCTGTCTACCCTCTGATG